AGAGAAGACAAAGACACTATAATGCCCCTTCTCTGTCCTACTCAAACCAGTACCCTTACTTTTAAGTGAAGTAAACTGGTCCAGGGACAGAGAGCCAGGAGGCCTGAGGGACAGACCTGGACCAAATTGTGGTCTTGGCTCCAGCCTTGTGCTGCTTCTGTTACCAGATATCCCATGTAATCCACTCACTGTGTCTCTAGACAGCAAAGTCTGAGAAGGAGGGCTCCCTGGCTTGATGTTGGGATGATGACTTGAAGGGGAAGCTGTGTTGAAAGAGATTTCCTGCAGTGATTTCTCACTCTGTCTCATTGTTACACCCAAGAGAGCTCAGCTGGTCTCAAAAACCTGGAAATGTGGTTGGACCAGAAATTCCATCCCATGTGGTTTATAATCTCATTCGGTATGGAGAATCAAATCTGGTGGGAGAATTGGACAGAGCTGGGTTTAGTTTGTTTTGTTTGGGGTTTTTTTGTCAGTTAACATTTATTAAAATCCATCTACAGGATAAATTGATTGAGTCATTCATTCATTTAATTAATCAATTTACTGTGTGTCCTTTTCACATGGCAGTGGCAACAATGTGTAGTTGTGCTAGAATTCAGGCTTTAAACCTGGCATTTTTAGTGGGGCTCCTGGATTTGTTTTCCCTGGCTATTTAACTTGAGAAAGTTCTCTAAACTTTGTAAAATTTACAGTCCTCAACTTTTAAATGGGAGCAATAATTACCATATTATTTTTGCATAAAATACCGTAGGCTAATTACTCACTTGGTAATTGGCACATTAATATCAAAGAATTATATTAATAACAATAATGACCGCTGCTTAATAATTGGATGAGAATATTCTGTGAGTGGGATGTCTCCTGCCTTACCTAGAAAAACATTTGAGATATTCCTGAAATATTTGCTTTAGGTGAGAAATGCTTATTTGTCAGCAAAAGGGTAGTGTGCTGGATGTGCCTCTCATTTGGGCCCACATGCACGGACACAGATGGGTTTCACTCTTGAATATGCTAGTTTTGTAATTTTGTTTTTACTCATCAAAAAGTTTCTGACATGGCCCTGGTGTTCCAGTAAATCATTCAAAATAATGACATTTTGGAAGACTGTTTGTACCTTCACCTCCCTAACCAGAGCAGCCTCTCTATTGGAGAGGACTTTCATACACTTCAGGCAATGGATTTGTATTATGCATGGGAAAGACCACCCTTTCCAACCTGACCAGCCAGTGGTGCAGCGAGGCTGGTGTTGCCATCAAAGCTGGATGTTTACCAACCAGTTCTAGGGGGGGTCGGGGGGGGGAGCCCTGGTGAGCCGCATATAATTTCATAGCATAAATACTCCCCTTGTGACTACCTTCAAGCTACCAAGGTGACATCACCAAATGCAGCAATAACAATCATATGCATTTCCACTGCACAAATGTGATAAATGCAAATAACTTCAAGAAGATACATTACAGTAAAATGTACTAAAATGATAAGGAAGTAATAAGGTTTCAGTGTTTGTTATCTTTGTTTTTGACATAATTTGTTTATAAGTTTATATAATTAAATTTTAACAATGCTTGTCTTTAACAACTGGATTGCATAATTCCTAAATGCGTAACCATCAGTTCATCAAACCCTGTGTGCACCAGTTCAAGCACACCACTGGGTCGTATAAAAAACCTATCCAGAACTGAAATCAAGCTCTGTCACAACTACCGTATGGACATGGACCACCTATTTTACTTCTGTAATGTTATTAAGGATGAGAGAGCACACATGTATACATAGCACACTATAGGACCTTGGTAATGGCAGCCATTGCTCTTGATACTGAGGTATAATAGAATTTTAGATTCAAAGGAAAGTTTCAAGTACATTTCTACCTTTTAAAAAGGCCTCTCACAGGAACACAATGAACTTTAGAAATTGGGGTGGTGATGATAGACAACCAGTTTAGACATTATTCCCCAAAGGCAGAACACACAACCCTGGTGGGGCGCAGATGCTGGTAGGTGACACATGGTTAGGTACTTTATGTTTTCATAGCTTTATGTTTGTTTGGAGAGTTGTAGTCAATGTATTTATGATAAAAGACATTGCCTTTCCATTCATTACAAATACTCCACTGTTTACATATATTCAAGTTTCTTTTCTAGCTAAATTTATGTGAGAAAATTATACTTAAAGAGTAACACTCCATAAAAAATAAAACAAAAAGTGAGCTGATAATGTGTAAAAGGTACCAGTGCTCCATAAATGACAGAGGTTTAAGGAATGTGTATTAAAGGGCCTCAGTGGGCCAGGTGCATACAGAGTTGAGGGGAGTGGAGTGGAAAATAGTACATGGGATCCAGACACGGCTCTGCTATAACATCTCAGAGTTGGGCAGTGATTGGATTGGTCAAGGAGGCTGGGCTATAGATTGAGAAAAGATTCAGATTTCAATCCAGAGCTGTGACCTACAGGGATTTGTGTGAGTTAAATCACCTCATAACCAAGGGTTATATCTCTCCAGAGGAAAAATATAGCATCTTCCTGGTGAATGGCATCCATGAGGGTAAGTCCAGATTGAACCTGTGTTGTGGACTGCAACCATGTAATCCTCACATGGTTCATCAGGGCAGCTAACCCCTTGGGAAATACCTATAGGCCAAAGGCACAACCCAGTGCCAAGCAGAAAAATCCAAAGACAAAAGAAACAAGGGAATCAGATGAGCTCTTTAGATTGACTTTCTAAGTGCAAACCTGCTCAGATCATCCTCCTGCTGAAAACTCTGGTGGCTTCATGTTTATTCCACTTAACATTTGGTGGCACAACTCTAAGTGCATTGACTGGAGAGCTGGCCCTCTTCCCTGGTCACTTCACCATGTCACTCTGTGCTCCCTCCCTCCCTTCCAGCCCTGCAAGCCTGGACTCAGTGGCTCACTCTCTCCATCCCAGGACCTTTGCACCTGTGGTTACCAATCCTGAACTGAGCCCAACCACACTTTCTGCTCCCATGCAGCTCCCTTAGTCTTCCTCAGAGAAATCTCTGATCCCACACTGTAGGAAGGTCAGGACAGCACGTTACAACCTTCCATGATGTTCTCTGACTTCCCTAATATCACTGAGCACAATGTATCTCGAGCTAATTATGTGATTAGCATCTAGCTGCCTGCCCAGCCTGGCGAGTCTCTGAGAGGGTGGAGGTGGCTGACTTTGTTTTTGGTGTCACCAACTAATACAGACCTTAACAGCTGAGGGGCACCCAACAGATATGTGCCCAATGGATAAATCACCAGCATAGGAAACAAAGGAATAAGTGAATACGATCTTAGCCATCCACCTAAACTCGGTGAGCCTCTAGTTTGCTACAAGTTCATGCCAAGCCAAGAGAAAACACAACTGAAAAGCCCCCATTCCCTGGCTTTAGCCTTCATAGTCTAGAGGAGACTTGAGACAATGCATTAAAATATGCTGGGACTACACTGAACAGACTTGGGTTGTGATCAAAATAGATAAAATGGGGAGCCCAGGAGAGCCATCGCTCTGCTAAGTATTCATGTCACTCTGCAGTAAGCCTCACCGAATCTTGTGTCTTTACTGCTCCTTTCCTGGGACCCTTGACTCAGTCACTCTAAGACTCTCCCAGTGGATCTGTGTCCTTGTGGAATGACTCTCCGTTTCTTGGTGGACCCATTGTCTATAATCCGAAATTCCTCCAGAAAAGATGTTCGGCAACCAATCTGCTTATATCATTTTTGTATGTCTTGAAAATATATCTAAATAAGTTAAGGATATAATTTATTTTAAATTGGGAATAAAGAAAGGGATAGTATCAAAATTAAGAATGCAAATGATTTGGAGTTTCCCTTATTAGAAGGTTCTTCCTGAAGTCACATTTTATCTAATTTCCAATGTGCACAAAGTTTACAATTAATATTTGCCCCTCATCCTAACTGAGGCCACAATTTGATCTTTCTGATAAATACTAACCACTCATGTTAGCACAATAAGAAAGCCCAATGTCTTTAGCTGGAAAAACTGAGGTCTGGAAAGTTTCAGAGCTGTTGAAGCTCACAAGATACAAAGTAAACTGGCCAGCTTCCAAAGTCAGGGAACCCTGAGCTCTTCACAGCATTTCCTGTTGTCTTGGCTTCTTACAGACACAGCTCTCTGCTCATACTTTGGCTCTTCAGGCTTCAAAGTAAACTTAGAATCTCCTGGACCATGGAGAAAATCCACTCTCTAGCCTATCAAACTTGAGCAAACTCTACTCTCTTCTTGGTTATGTGTTTCAGTTGTAAACCTTCCAGTTCACACAGTATGTACTGAGTGCCCACTTGGCTGCTATGGTCAGTGCCATCAAACTGTAAGAGGCAGTGCTTAAAAATATAATTAAAAAGAGGGTAAGTATTTTTATGGGGTTTTTTGGCCCGGAAATTTCATTTCTAGTAGTATAAGCAAGGAAAGCAATCATAGATGCCTACACATTTCTAGGCCTATGACTAAAGGGCCTTCACTAATAATCTGTGTATCCTCAGTAACTATAGAAACAATATACTGCAATTGTAATAAGTTCTTATTATAAAAGATTATGCTGTTGGATGGATATTTAACACCAAGGAAAGATATTGGCAGTGGATTATTGATGAGAAAAGAGCAGCTTATAAAACAAATAGTCTATATAATTTAATAGGTTCTTTAAAAGCATATAATTACATAGTAAAAACTGGAAAAATGTGTGTCCAACTACAGTAGTAGTAAATTCTAGGACTCCATTCAGGGTTCCTTGTGATAAAGAAATGTATTTATAAAATATGAATGAGTGCATATATGCAAATATTTAAATTAGGAACTCAGAGAGCTATGAGAAACAGAAAAGATAGAAAAAAACTGATGAAAAAGAACTTAAGAGTGCATTTATGAGTCCAGTTTAGATGCACAAATTCCAATCAAATAATATCTGTGAATGGCATGAATAACAGCTAATGATAGCATAATTACAAAGAACAGAGAAGTAACTCACCCAGTGCAGAGCATGTCCTCAATCCACACAAACACACAGGGTGTACCTAGCAACAACTTGTGGGAGGAGCTTCTCTACTGTACCTCTTCAGAGGCCAGTCATTGTTCTGGTGCATTCTTGCTTTCAGAGAAAAGTGGCTAGTTGTATTTCCTTCCTAAATCCCTGGAACTTTCCCACCTACCCTTTCCAACTGAGGACCCACACGAGGAGGCAGAAGTTGTGAACTGACTCTCTTATTAATTTCAGCCACAAAATTATGACCCCAAATGCCAGGGACGATTTAAATGTGGGCCACCAGAATCTTGTACGTAGGCTAAACATACAGTTGCTTGATGGGAATTCTCTACCAAAAGGCAATCCATCTTTCCTTACCCTTTTGTTCTCAGCTCTGGAACAGGTTGCTGCATTTCGGTGAGGATCTCAATGTCCTTCACAGTTGTTTAGAGCCAGAGTTCGGTCTGCTTTGGTTCAAATTCTTCTTGCACACAACACTCAAAGTGACTAATAGGGCTGAATGTGATATGAAGGGTTACATGTCAACAGAATTGTCGGCCAAGAGCTCCGCCAATATTCCCTTCCTGTCCTCAGGGAAGGTCCAGAGGGGACTCCCTCCCAGTGAAGCTTGGAACCCCTCAGGCCCTCCATCCTCAACCTTTATGCTCTCCCTGGCAAAAGCAATGATCGTTTTTAAAATCTGGAAAATACTTTAAAGAAAATTTATGGTGAGAAAAATTTGGTTTCCTGGAAGCCAACCCATTATAACCATTATTTACATAAATTACTTGAAATTTGGGGTTTTGTCTTATTTTTACTACCAATAACAAGAACATTAATTAAGGTATTGTAAGTTGTTAGTATAAACAAATCTCAAAAAATGTATATGTGCGGAAGTTAATTGCAATTTTCACAAATGCAAAACCCAGCAGGGTGGTGTTCCTCAGCAATTGGGCTCCTCCTTTGCATGACGTCACCATCTTTCACGCAGGGCTTCAACCTAAAGGCCTGTCTGTATCCACAACCCAGATGGCAGTCTGGAAAGAGGATGGGAGAGACCAAGAGTCATCTTATTGTGCCAGACCGGAAAGTGGGATACAACATTTCCAATTATCTTCTGTTGATCAGAGTTAATCACATGATCACACCCACATACAAGGGAGGCTAGCAGCTCAGGCTGTATGCTCAGGAAGAGGAGGAAGCAGTGGGCTGCGCTGTCAGGAGAGGCAAATAAGTGAATCCCAGCACCTTACCAACAAAATGGCCATTGACAAAGCGTGCCCTGGACGCTGGGGAGGAGACGCCCGGTCTCTAACGCATCCTCCCGACTGCACGGGATTCTCTGTACTGAGTCAAGATGCTGCAAGGATTTCTGGGGAAGAAAGTTGGATTGACTCCTCTTCCCAAGAAATGAAATAAAGAGATATCAAAGCCTTTCACCAAGAAAAGATGAAGGAGAAAAAGACCATTAAAGGAACCCTGAGTTAGTTTGAATTTTTAATTTGTCAAAAGTCACATTCCTCAGTCAGTTCAGCTAATTTAGATTTACCCTAACCAGTTAATAAGCCAAGGCTATTAATTAGTGATATTGCAATAGTAATTATTCCAGCGAGTCCCCCTTCACCATATATTTTATCTCAAAGTAAATTGATGCCTCATGATAGGAAGAAAAGGAAGGTAGAAGGAAAGAAGAAAGGGAGGGAAGGAAGGGAGAGAGGGAGGGAGGGAGGAAGAGAATATTTCCCCTCTTTGTGCATAATACAGCCTCTCCTTCACTGGGCAGCTATGCTTGGCTTTTAAAACCATCCTCCCTGGTCTAATTACAATGACAAAAAGCAGCTCTGAGTGAGGAAACCCAAGAGTATTTGAAACCAGGTTACAGCTCCCTTCAGTAATTTGGCTCTGTAAGAAAATATGCAGGCGGACAAATTATCTTTAACTCCTCCAGGAGGAGACCCAGCTCTCATGGGAATCTGAACTTGTTTCAAGGGTGGGAGTGAGGGTAGGGGCATTCTCACTATCATTTTTGAGATGGATTTCATGACTGCATGCAGGAAAGAAATATTTCCATTAGGGAACACCTTACCTGGACTCAAAGCCTAACTGGCATTCTTAACATTCTAAGGTGCAGAGAGAGAAAGAAAAGGATTATGCTCTTGTATCCTGTGACTTGTTCATATCTACCTATGACAAAATATGCAAGCTGCCTTCCCCCTCCGTCCAAGCTCTCATCTGAGCAATGCTAGCCTGAGGTAGTCTGTCTTCTCTGTCATAGTTTGAGTATAGCCTGACTGTCATGGTTTATATCTAGATGCCCCCAAAGCATCATGTGTTCATAGGTGGGGTTTCCAGGAGGTGACTGGACCATCGGGGCCTGATACTCATCAGTGGTTTAACCCACTGGTGACTTTTAGCTAACTGTGATGTTGGGAGGTGAAACCTGCTTGGAGGAGGTGAGTCCCTGGCCTGGAAGAGTGTATCTCCCCTCCCCTCTCCTCTCCCGATGCTCTCTGCTTCCTGTTGGCCATGCCGTGAGCAGCTCTCCTCTGCCACGTGAACCTGTCGTGCCGTCCTGTCAGAGCCAGCTGACAATGACCTGGAAACTCTACATACTGCAAGCCGAAATAAACCTTTCCTGCTTTAATTCATGGGTGTTAGGTATTTTGTCTCAGTGACAAAGAAAGTAACTGAGACACATGATATTGATAAGGGCACATGAAATAGATGAACTGAAGCACTGCTAAAGAACTTGGAAAGCAGCTTTGTTGGAAATTTTGTCAGGGTTAGATGTGTTCATATTTTGGGAGCCACTCAATGAATTTCTCACCTCATTTCAAAAGAAATGCTCTTAATTCCAGAAAAGCCCTTTATACATAAGATGTTTCTTGTAGAACTATTTATGATACCAGATGCTAAAAGAACAGATTGGTTAAATTAATTGGCATATAGGATATAATGAAGGTGTTTGATATTATGCATATACATATATCAAAGGAAAACTTTAATGCTATTTGTATACATATTATTCCAAATTGTGAATTAGAAAACTAACTTTTCTCAAGCTATAGAGTGGCCAGCAATGCCAGCCTGGGCTATATACAGTTCAAGGCCAGCCTGAACTACATGACGAGACCCTGTCTCAAAAAACCAAAGAGAGAGAGAGAGAGAGAGAGAGAAAGAAAGAAAGAAAGAAAGAAAGAAAGAAAGAAAGAAAGAAAGAAAGAAAGAAAGAAAAGAAGGCAAGCAAGCAAGCTACAGAATAAAAATGTGAACCTTATCTTTATCTTAAACTGGATACATTTCAGTTTACCTTCTGAATAGCTAAAATATTGAGTTTTTGTTTTTGAAATTGGAGCATTTTAATGACTTTGTTTTCACAAACAAATAGAAGTTAAATTTAGGAATGACTTGGAGAATGACATCATTTTGCAATAATGTGAAGATCAGCTTAAAAGATAATCTGAAGTGAAAAATCCAGGAAAGAAAAATGTTAGTACAGTGTGGTAACTGGAATTAAAATGTTTAAATTGAAAATTTTTAGTTTTCCCATTTTTCTTCTCCTTTCAAAGATTCTTGAGAAAAATTTCTTGACAAAAAGATAGATACATATATAAGCTTAAGAAACATTGCCTCTTAGATTTATACCTCTCATACCTCAACAGCAATGCCCAAATCACAGGGATCTTTACTCTCCGAGATGAGCTCTTGTCTGCAGCCTTTCCTGTGATGCTGGAGGCCCTCATTCCCAAAGCAGTGTGAGCCCCACAAGGGCCACACGCTAGCCATGCTCCCAGCCCCAAAGGGAGCTGGACAGTGATGCTCATGACCAGCTTAGGAAAGGCCTGCAGGCAGGAAGCCCCTTCTGCCTGGGCTCTGCAGCTCTCCTGTACCGGGGTTCTAGAAATGATTTCTGTCTCAGGAAATTTGGGGCAGGAGAAGGAACAGCATCTGCCTTTCTCCTCCTCTTTAATTGGAGTGCACCATGAACAGAGAGACCAAGCCACCACAAGGCGTGCTGAGTCAAGTCACTTTCTGCCAACAATCTCCTTACTGCTCCTGCCAGCAGAATGCGGTTTTGTTTCTCTTTCGGTGACACTACTATGGAGGCTATCTTCATTAGGGCCTGCTGTATCATTCGAAATGAACAGTTTTTTCTCTTTCCTGAATTTAGTCAAATTCTCTGCCTCTGTGCTTTAAAAAAACTTGTGTTCTTGCTATCCAAGTGGGGACACCCAATCCCCCCTTTCCCTAGGTTCTGATGGGGGCTCTTGGCTTCAGGTTGGGGTGCATCTCAAGGACTCTCCTCACCAGGATCACCTGGGATCCCAGCCCCAATTCCTGTCTCTTTTCAAAACTTTGAGTCTAGGGTTGGGTTTCGTGGAGATTCATTTGTTTTGTGGTACTGGGGATTGAGCCCATGAACTTTGCACTGAGCTACAACTCCAGCCCGTTTTAAAGTTTTTTGTTTTTATTTTGTGACAGGGTCTCTCCAAGTCATTAAGTTTCCCAGATTGAGCTCAAACTTGGGACTCCACCAGCCTCAGCCTCCTAGGGAGCTGGCATTACAGGTGTGTGCTACCACATCTAGCTCAGAGTTGGTCTCGAGGAGGTGCAGCACAGAGCTGTCACACCATGCAGTCAGCCCAAGAAGATTTCTTGGGAACCCACTAGATGCTGTGCAGTGTATTAGTCTCTGAGAATGTGGCAAGGGGGACAGACCTTGGGCATGAAATTACAGTAAGTTGAATCAAAACCTCAGCTGTCCAAGGTGCTGCTACCGGCGTATCTCAGACAGGCTTAAGTACTTAGTCGAAGGCAGGTTCAGCGTTGCTCTCCAGAGAACATTTGCCAATGTCTGAAGACATTTCTAGTTGCAACCAGGAGGGGACCAGGAGTGCTTTGGACATTAAATAGGAGGTTAGGATCTTGCTGAACTCCTCCTGTGATACACAATCTCCCATAGCAAAGGATTATCTAGCCTAACATGTCCATAGTGTTGAGTTTGGGAAAACCTGTTGATTATCAAACTTGAGTAAGCA